GAAAGTAGGCGGGCGAACCGTACTCTAGCATTGGTCTAATGATAGAAGAGAACAGGCGAGTGGCAACCTCTTCAGACCATGTGCCGAAGCTATGTTTGAGCGCCCAAAGCATGCGCAGTCCGTTACGATATAGCCTGTTCGTGTTGTCCACGGACTTCAAATGGTAGCGCGAGAGTACACCTAGGTCCTTCACGGAGGGTGTGGGATATAGCGTTTGGCCGTCAAGAGTGTAGGTTCGGCCGTTAGCATTCTTCCCCAGGCTCATAAATACAGACTTGGCTTGTTTGACCGGGAGAAGAACTTCTGCAGACCATGTGGATAAGCGGTTGAGATCTTGTTGAAGTAGGCCACAGTCATCGGGAGCTTCGATTTCTCTGCAAATCTTCATGTCGTCCGCAAACAAGGCACACGGCGACCGGAGAAGCTGCGGTAGATCGTTGATGTGGATCAGGAACAGAGTATGCCCAGCACAGTGCCTTGAGGCACGCCACTTGTAGAGGGGTACCAGTCAGTTAGATGGTCGTCGACCTGTACTCTCCACTTTCGTCCAACAAGAAAGTCGCGGATCCATCGGTGCAGTGAACCACCGACGCCACACATGCTGAGTTTGTGAAGGAGCACCTCATGACTGACCTTGTCGAACGCTTTACTGAAATCGATGAATATCACGTCGACGGATTTCCCCTTGTTTGTTGCCTTCAACCACTCATGCCTCGTCACAAACAGGTTCGTAATGCATGAGCGACCTTACATATAAATATATATATATATATATATATATATATATCACTGCGTTCGGATTGGCCTTGTATGCTTGTTAAAATGAATCTCCCAAAGGCATACGTTTGTATTTTTCGAGTTGCATTTCTTATTCTCTGATGTGTTTGTTACCAACGTACTGATTCGGTCATAGAATTTCTCACTTTATCTGCCATATACAGTCAATCAGTGGCCTTGGTCAAGACGGATAGTAGATTAAAGTGCGTTGGCCTACGAATTTCTTCGTTGTCCCTGTTGGAGTGCTTCGCATAACAGACGCATGGGAAGAGCAGTGTCGCATGATCGCTGCATCCCAACGGGCTGCTCACTCTCACCGTGTCAATCATAAGTTCTTCAATGGTAAACACGAGGTCAAGCACGGTAGGTTTGTTTCATATTCTGAATCTCGTAGAGGAGGTAATGTGATTATAAAATGGTAGGTCAGCGATTAGCTGTTGTAGCTCGGCTATAATTTGCTCACTGAGGGTGGCTGAAAGCTCGAAAGCATGTAAGTTGAAGTCTCCGATTAGGAGAACGTAACTCGGTGGCTTTGTCAGAACGGTCTTTAGAGCATTGGGTAAACAGTTGTTCACTTCTACAGTTGACACCGGGGTCGGTAGACGATGGCCACCAAACATGTGTCACTATGTCTGAGTTGTATGTGACATTAAAGCCAGTCAACAACTTAAGTCTCTGGGTGAGTAAATATTTCGAAATGCAAGTCAGAGCGATGGTACAAAAGGACGCCGCCCCTTCTGCTTCGTCTATCATTTCGTAGGACGGACATGTCTGATAAGGGGATCTCGGCATCATTGCTTTCGTCGTTGAGCCAGGTTTCGGTTATCATGCTAATGTCCCAAGGCGTTGAAACTTGACTACAATGAAGCTCAGAAAAGTTGCGGAGGAGTCCTTGTGCATTAGTGTAAAACAGTATAGTGTTTCGAATGTCAAAAGCGTGTTTGCAAGTGTAGGTATCAGGTGAGAGTTGAGGCCAACCTTTGTAAGATCGGCAACTAAGCGTATTTTTGGGTCAACTACAGATATTAGACTTTGAGCTTCTTCATGTCTGTTGGTAGAAAGCTCACGTGATGAAGTTCCGGGTTAACTGCTCTTTGTGCACGTCGTTGTTCCAGTAAGAGCCTGTCGTAGACTGCTGCTGCACTACTCAAGAGTAAAATTTGCCGGAATAGTTGATAAGCCTTGGTGATTTTGCTACACTACATTCGACTGGCGTCTGGTATTAACCGCCTTTAAGCGAATCTCCGATGGATGCTTGTTACGAGATTTGCGCTGCATCTTGCTTGTTTCTTCCGCCATGCCTTTGGACTAAAGCACAAGCTTATGCAGCATAAGAAGTCCCACTGTTTCCTGTCGTCCAACAGTTTACTTTCTATGGAGTTTGCACTAGATTCAGGGACTCCAGAACCTACAATTGTCATTGACTCTTCGGCAAGTCTACAGTTTGATGTTTCGATGAAAGCTGTAGTCTGAGTTGTTGATGGTGTGGTTTGCGCACGTGTGGTACTTTTGGCGCCTTGTGTTTTAGCGTCTGGTATAGACTAAACTGTTACTCCTTGTGCGTGAGCAGCTGAATCGGTGGCGTTTGAAGTTATGCCTTCGGCGGTCAAGTATTCGTTCGGGTGTATCGGTGTAGAGTAGGTCACAGGTTTGCTCTTAGGCATTAGATTTTAAGCTGAGGTGGGAGTCATTGGAGTACGTAGAACTCGGCATTTACAATTGTCGAAATGGCTTCACATGGCTAACCTTTCTCCTGGTTTGACCACCACATGCGGCTGCGGCTGCAGGGGATCGGTGTTCGAGTGATGCATTCCTGATACGGGTGGAAACTGCTATGCGCCGATCTGTCGCACCACAACTAGACATTCACTGGTTATGGTCGTCCATCAGCTTTCCATTTATGGTACTTGCCTGCGATTCTGGAACATCAATGCACACAAAAGTTAAAGCACTGTGATTTATTCTGTGATTTATTCTGTTTGAGAGTATTATTTGAAACCGTCCAGAAGCATTTGGTTGGTTGTGGAGGCTGCGTCACCCTAATGTTGCTCGGTGTTGCTACCGGAGCCACGGGTGTTCTCGCCGGCGTTTACATGGAAGCAACCGATGCGTACCATTCCCGGCTTTTCTCTACGGTGGCTTGAAGATGTCACCATCTTCACCGACATAATGTCGGCTGCACCGCTGGAAGGAGTGGATGTAGCTACAGTCAATGCTCGTCCGCTAATGAAAGTGCCTTGAGCAGGAGGATTTGGAGACACAGATGCTGCAGTGCGGTTAGAGCGTCTGGCCATTTTCTTCTGTCTATTGGCCTAGTTTGATTTGATTGGCTGAGTTGCGAGCGTGGCCATATTCACCTCTGATGGTTCGTTACTAGTAATCACCAAGTGGGCGCTTGCCTCAGTCAACTTACCGCACTTCTTCATGAGAACACACGAACAGTTAACAACTGGAATGAGTCGACATGCTAGATAAAACAAAGTGCGTCGACAAATTTGTTATTCTGCCTGACCTCTTGGACGGACTCTCCTATATATATAATATAAAATGATTCAATGTAGTATGAGCATGGTACCCCCATCTTGCGATCTGCATCGCATTTCTCTGAGGAGCACAAGCAGTACCGCATCATGCTTGGAAGGTTGGCTTTGTTGTTCTGGTCACGTGCAAATCGTGAGGGTCGCTGCAAGTTCCTGGGTCAGCACTGAGAAAATGTCCAGTGTCGATCATGTTGGTCGTCTACACGCGTGCGCCCACGGTTGCTAGGACAGATTGGTCGGCTAATCGATCGGTGGGAGCGGCTTGCCGCCGAAACTGGAAAACTGGCTGGAGGTGCGCGAAACTGAATGCGTATGGTGGGCAAACAATTAATCCCAAATTGTTACGCAGCTGAGTTGAAAAACACCCCATATGATCGAGTCTAGGTTTATTTGACGCTGCAGCGATTGCTCTGTTGAACACAGTGACACATTTGCTTAAGTAAACAATATGCGATAAGGACGTACATGTGCGTATGTGCACAAAAGCTATAACAACAGCTATAATCACTGGAACACTGATCCGTAGGAGATACTTCAGTGTAAGAGGGTCCACAGGATAGAGCGAAATAGTACGATCCATATGAGTATAAGCTGAATGTGTTGTCAGAAGATGAAGAATTGAAACTCCTCAACAACGAACAGCGTACGATCGATGCGGCTGCACGGCAGGCGGTTTTCCTATCAGGCACAATACAAGCCAAAACAATTTGAAACAAAAGGTTCCATTTATAATCAAATATCATACTTATAATACGCCTGTTGTAAGATGCCACCGCCATTTCGTGCATTCTTTTCAATCACGTGCCTACAATCGTTAACGTTTTAGCACTCAGTTCATCACTTTTCAAGCAGTGCAAATGGAAACTGCATTGTTGAACAGACACATACCGATTAACCGTTTCAAACCATTGTTCAAAAACGTTGCTTTCCGTTTCCTATACCTGAGCTGACATGTCACAAGTAACCAGAGTAAGTCAATAGTGCAGGTATAGAAGCATGCGGTTATCAACGTATTCAAGCATCAGCAGTCTTCACTCATCTTATCAAAAGGACAGAAAAAAGGAGAGGTCCGTATCGGTAGCGATTTTTCTTTTGTCACCGCATTAGCCTGATTCACAGTGGGATCCGATCACTATCCAATTGGCTTTGGCATTTGGCCTCTATTCCGGGGATGCTGATTTTAATCTGCGTAGGTGGGGGCAAAGTCGCAGTATCCCTAGCCATTATATGACCACTGGTAGTCGTGCAGCAACAAAGCGTCGGCCCAGTGTACCGATACACAGATACAGATGGTTGAATTACTGCTTAATCCGTTCGATAAACAAAGTTCATCACCGTAAGTTTGGACAAAATCATTTACATGTATCCACCACATTTTAGGCAAACTTATTTATTCTTCCGAAAACGAGTGGATATGTATGGCGGACTGAATTCGTACCATTTGAGTAGACCATTCACGGTACAATTCATCTTAGTTGTTGAGACAATGCAAATACACGAAAATCTCTCGGATGTAATTGGTAAAGTGTAATCCGACTTTCAGTCTCGTACGGAAATCTGAAAGCAGTTTTCTATTACCCCTTATCCCCGTGCATCCTTTGTACATCTATACTAGCTGATATTTTCTAAATACCCCTTGGAGTTCTCAGACTGGTTCAGTGCAACTCAAAAACTTATTTTTAGACATTTCGAACCCAGGATCCAAGCTATTACCGTTCAATCCCCCTGGTAAACACCCCGGTGATAAGGGCCAAAAATAATGAATCAGCGCGTACGAGTTCCCCCCAACTACCACGGGATGCCTTACCCCAACGCCTCGAAAGACTTGCCTCGACAGCCCAACATCGCAGTATACATGAGTTTGATCCCGTTGCGCTGCGTTCACCGCCAAGTATTTCATCCCGCCGTTCAGTACCCATAGCTTCAGTAACTTTGGCACCGTCACCGCGCAACCCGATTGATGAGTCAATGGAGGTAACCAATAGAGGAATACCCCAGAGGCATTCCATGTATGAGAACTCTATTATTTCCGACTTCCCTCAGACAGACAGGCCAGTGGTACCCAGACACAAGAATGTCCTCAGAAACGAGGACTATGTGGCCCAAATTAATGAAGATCTCCTGGAACAACCCAAAGCTCCAATGACATTCTCTCAAGCGTATAATGCAATAAACTCGATTAGTGCCTCAGGTTTTGATGTCTCACTAAACAGATTGGATTCCGGAGCTCAAAGTATGGACAGTATGGACCAGAACGCCCTTGATTTTGAATCCGATGAAAGCGTGCTACAGCAACACAAAATTATTAATGTTGAGGAAGAGTTCGAGGATCGCATCCGACAACAAGATATGTGGTTAGATGTTATGCACATGGAGAAGCTCAATTTGGAGAACAGAATGAGGCAAGCATTAAGGCATCGTCAAGAGGTGAGTGCCCGCAGTTGTAATGGTAAGTCTAACCTCTGCAATCATCAATGGTCATTCCATGATTACAGTGAATGCATGCTTTTGTTGGTTTTTATTACTTTACATGACATTTTCTGAATCAAGGTGGCGATCTAAATGTTCAAGTTGGAAAATTGTCATCTGTTGAGTTTCATCTGAACGGCCAACATGGTGTAGGCTCCCGTACTGATAACGGTGAGCGATTGCTACATCTGTGTAAAAATGCTCGCCTCTTTCTCGCGAGCACTAACTTTCAACACAACACGCTCAGAAGAATGACTTGGCGACCACCAGCCTCGGGCCAGCCATGAACCCAAATTGAGCATATCGCGATCAGTTACCGCTGGAGAGGCTGTGTCCAAAACTGTCGCTCGATTTGGAGCACGAGCGTGGACTCTGACCTCGCACTTGTCTGCGCCGACCTCCGGGAGTGTTTCGGTGGACTTCTTCAACCTCGACGTGAACGGATTGACACCAGCCAGCTGGCGAAGCCAGATGTTCTGAATGTGTATCAAAGTGCGCTGACGTCTGGGCTGAGTAAGCGCCCACTAAATACCGTTGAAGATCACTGGTCGAATATTCGTCAAACGTTACTGTCAGCAGGCATATCTTCATGTGGCAAAGCAAATTGTCAAACCGGACATTGGGTCTTTACACAGTCACTGGAAGTTATGGATGCTCACCGGCGTATTCCGGCCGGAAGCGAATATAATGAGACCCGCAAAAATCGCTGGGCAAAACTACGTGCTAGCCTGAAGAAAGATCGCGCAACCTGGTGGTGTCATCGTGCCACTGCGATGGAAACAGCCGCTGTCGTCGTCAATCATCGTAAGTTATTCCGTCTGATACGGGAAACAGGCAGCAGGAGACCTGGTGTTAGCGAGACCATACGCGACCAGAGCGGACAACCGATCCACAGCCTGTCAAAACGCTTGGAGCGTTGGGTAGAACACTTTGCAAGGCAATTTAACCAACCTGAGTTATGGGTTTCTTTTTCGGGCATTGAGCGCCTTTCTCCTTGAGCCGTCTCCTTGGATCCGCCCTCACACCAAGAAGTTGAACGTAAGATCAGGCTGTTGAAATTGCATATTGCCGCAGGGGCAAATAGATTTATCCCAGTCCTCTTCAAATTCGTGGGACCTGCACTAATAGATGATTCACACGAGTTGCTTGTGAAACATGGGGAGCAGGAGACTGTTCCGACAGACTGGAACCACTCCATCATTGTCCTAATTTTCAAGGGATACTCTCGTTTGGGACGCAACAATCATAGAGGGATCAGTCTGATTTCAATTGCCTCTAAATTGCTTGCCTCTGTCATTCGCCACAGACTGACCGGCACACGTGAAAGCCAGATTCGAGAACAGCAAGCCGGATTTCGTCGAGGTCGGGGCTGCATCGACCACATCTTCACATTGCGTCAAGTGTTGGAGCAGCTCCATGATTAATGGCGACCCATCGTTGTCGTGCTTCTTGACATACAAGGTGCCTTCGACTCAGTCGATCGATGTGCCCTTTGGGACTGTCTGCTGAGGAAAGGTGTGCTTGATAAATACTCGAAGATTATTAAAGTACTGTAGGCGCATAGTTCGGGTAGGGTGAGAGTTTACGGCCAACTCTCGCCACCCTTCAGTATCACCAGCGGTGTGAGACAAGGGCGCCCGCTGTCACCTTTCCTCTTCAATTTCGCTATTGAGGATTTTATGAAAACAGCGTTCGCTGGACACGACCTAGAAGGTGTGGAGCTATTTCCTGGTGAGCGACTTCTTGATTTGGAGTATGCGGACGATATTGCCCTAATCTGTGACAGCTCCCAAACATGCCAAGCAGCACTGGACCGATTAGCACTGGCTGTCAATCGTTTTGGGCTATGCTTTGCTCCATCGAAATGCAAAGTACTTCTCCAAGATTGGCAGGGACCCAACCCTGCGCTAACGCTTGGTGGTGATCAGCTAGAAATCGTTCAGGAATTCAAGTACCTGGGTAGCTATATTAGCACCCGTGTGATTGAAGATGAGGTTACAAACCGTATAGCAAAAGCTCGAGGTGCTTTTGCCAATCTCCGCCACCTGTGGTGCAGACCCGACATTACTCTCGCCCTGAAGGGCAGAGTTTATACCACAGCTGTCTGTTCAACTCTCCTATATGGCTGTGAAACCTGTCCCATCAGGTCGACAGACATAAAAGTGGCTCGTCATATCCGATCATCGCTGCCTTCGCAGCTTAGTTCATGTCTGGTGGGAGCACCACGTAAGCAATGAGCTTGTCCGACGTCGCGCATTTGATGCAGGAAGAGCGAGTGAACCGCTCAGCACCATTATATCACGCACCAGGCTCCGATGGCTGGGCCACGTGTTGCACGTGCCAGCACACGGACTTCCGCGACGTGCACTGTTTACGTGTTGTGGGTGCGGTTGGAAGAGGAGGAGGGGAGGCCAAGCGATGAGATGGTCGAGAGAAATGAAAACCCTCACTTCGAAGTTGACCTCGGTTGGTGCATCCCGACTGCCTAGCTGGGGTCCTAAGGACGGTGAACACGTTTGGTTGGACACACTTGCTGATATGGCTTGGAGCCGGCCCCAACGGGGCTTGTGTTGTGAGTTCTTTTGTCCATCCCCTCCTGCTTGGCATTCCCCTCCAATCACGATCTCATTTGCTAGGCATAATATAACTCTTTTTTACGGCACGATAGCCAGCTGTTAGCTCTCTGGAACGATGTTCATCCGTTACTGGGGACTCAGCCGGTGTGCCACTATTTGTTTTCCTTTTCTTGTCTTTTGTGTTGCGGCACAATGGCTGAGATGTTTTCCACTTGCAGCTAACGTGTATAATGATGATGGTGATGACGGTTGTGTAGCCTATACAACCGCGTTCCAAATAATGAAGCTGCTTGTGCTTGTCATCGATACTCCTTGGACTCACTTGCATACGCTATGGGCTATTTTGAAAGTGATATGTAGTTAAGTTAGTTGTCTATGCAGCCGATGACCACTGTACCGTGGAATAGTCTGAATGAGCTATGAGATCAGATGATTGAAAAAGTTTTAGTTCGGAAAATTCCACTTGTCCCGTCCATACAATCTCTCTTTTCCCTGTTATGCATTTACTTTCAGCTTGCCTTATCTGACCTGGTTGTGGTCAATATATGGTCGTTGTCAATAATTTGCCATCTAGATGGCTGGCAGCTGGTCAGCTTATGTGTATCAAAACGCATTGAAAGCATCCAGTGGAAAAGGAGAACGCCGCAAAAAAGCGCAGATCTTTTACTGTTTAAGATAATAGATTGCATTCAAACAAACAACTTACGCTTTATTTTCTTATTCCAATAGCTGGAGGATCAGTTGAAGTACATGCGACAGAACACAGAAAGTCATGTCAGAAGTAAGTTTGCTATTTGCATTGATAGAATTGTTATCTCAAGTGTCATGTTTTCCTGGAAACTGGGGATACGTGGGTATGAGGTGGTTCCATTTTTCTATCTCGGTTTTCGTGAAGGCGTTTTCTACAACTGCTGGCGCTCAAACGATTTGAGTTTTTTGAGTGAACTTCATAACTGTGTTTACTTGCATAAACTGCAAAGCAAGTGAGCAGTGACTTTTGTCTGTACCTGACTTAAGCTAAGTAATGCACACTCCTTCTCTGCCGTTGTATTTAAGAAGGGTGTCGGCAGTACGCAGATACGAAGTACCGACGCTTTACTGACTTGCAAGCACCACCAATCGCTCTTGCGCTAAGGACATTGCGAGGGTCCTGCGGTCCGCTACGCAGGCTCCAGGATTACAAGCAAGGCTTGTGGTGCTTAAGCCCACTGGCCGGCACACAAACCACACGTGAGTGATGGTGTGCACAAATGAGGTTATGGGACTCTCCAGATTTGCAGGGTTATATTGCATTTTACTTTAGCTCATGACTGTATGAGCTGACTTACCGAACAACCTCGTGATGCCAGTTGGGTGGCTCGGGATTTTCCCGTTCCAGCAAATGGTTCGGCGGCAGTGTTCCACGACGTGGTGGGTTTTCGCATGGCAAGTGTTCTCCCTATAAAAAACCACATATGTCCGTTTGACAACTCTGTGACGTGGCGGACGTGACTCGCCACTAAATAAAGTCACTACGCCTTGCTTCATCCTGGCGAAACATTACATTCCAGCAAAGTTATGTAGTAATTCTGGGAGCATTGGGCCCCTGTTTGACAAAGGAACAAACGAAAGGCGTATGAACTGCGCAATCAGTCACCGGCTCCAAATGGGTGCGATTCCCTGAATTCGCTCCGCTGCCTTGCGGGCAGGCTATTCAACCAAAGACTTGGGGTGGAATCCCCTAAGTCAACACCCTACTTCGGTTTGGGCAACCGGGTAGTATCTCGCCCTCTGACGAAACCATGGACTTTGATATTTTCCGTTGTGTTTTCTGTTACTATTTCTGTACTTTCCTTTGAGTCCCATGGTTTCTGATGGCTCTATGTCTATTCGTAGACTGTTTCATATATATATATATATATATATATATATATATATATATATATATATATATATATATATATATATATATAAACTGTGTACTGAAGGCGGAGATTCTATTAAAAGTCGTACTAGTTCTCTTCGTCAAAGTCAGAGCAAGTGGATGCTGCAGATCATGTAATGTTAATACCGGGTTATGAAGATATATTTGCTTGGTATTGGGATACCTGCATAAATATAAATCCCAAAGGTAGAGGGATAAAAGACTGCGGTTACCTCGGAACAATATGAAAAGGCGTCTAAGGCTGCAAAGCAACACCTTGGTATGATGCGGATTGCATTTGGGCGGATTGATCCCTCTGTCTCTTCGCAGTTGCTTAACATGTACGTGCGGCCTCATGTGGAACAGGCAATCCGGGCCTCGCAACTGTCACAAGCAAGACCTTGTAGCTCCCCGACTCCACAGCAACCAGCCACGAAGTATGTCAAAGGGTTGTTCAATCTTTCTTATCAACTTAGACTGAGGACCCTAAAATTATGCAGTGGCCGGTACCCGCGCCTATGTGGCGAAGTTATTATAGACTATCAGATTCTGAGGAACCCAACCACATCTGCTGACACCTACTACAACTGAGCCACAGCACGAATTTGAGGGGCCGCCAGTTCAACTTAGCCATGCAATACAGTCGGCTAGAATGTCGACGGAACTTTTAATATTTTCGATTGCGTCAGCCATAGAGCGCCCTTCAATATTACCTTGTTTCGGCCCCCAAATGATTTGTGTTTTATAAAGGTCTTGACTTTGCCAACTCGCCTACATTGCGAGATATAGGCTTTGTCTTAACTGATTTGTGACGGAAGTCGCACAAGCAGAATTAACCTATACAACTGCGGTCAGCTCTTACTGCATGCCACTGCGTGAACACTGTAGTGAGCCCACCAAAACGATTTTCATTTTATCTCTTTGTCTTTTATTCACCAGATGGTTGTTTTTATTCTGGCCATCCTTTGTTGCCCGTAATATACCATTTTTCATCTATGCTAGCCAATAAAGTCTTCATTGGCAACTGTTATAATCGCACATTTAAGATTCATCATAGCGCATGCAAGTGCGTCCAATGAGTATCGATGGCAAACACATGCAGTTTCGTGATCCGGAACGCGGTTGAATAGTCTAAACTATGTCGGGTCCGAAAAGCAGACAGGAGTCTGCTGACCACGAAGGAAACTCACCATTTTAATATCAACGCAAAGGAGCTAGTTGTATCTATGATTGCAGCAGTGGCCAATGACAACTTTGTTGGTTAGATAGAAGAGGCAACCGCAGTCCTTTTCCCCTTGCCTTGGGAACTTGGTCATATTTTCTTGAAGCAGTCACGTTAGATGATTCAATAGTACTTAGCCATCAGTTGCTTACCCCAACTTTCTTGATTAAGTTCCTCCATCGTCATGAAATCACGATGAAAACCTTCTCTCTTCTCATCACTTACCGCCCCAAGATCTATAGGGCGTTCATCGAAATGGCTGTTCATGAAACGCAGACTGACGCTCAGCATGTATCCATGACCAAAAATCTCAACCATATTCTTTTAACTTGTTCCTCGTAATTTTCTGATTCTTGTTCTTGGGAACAGTTTGTTTGCCTGACACAAATGACTGTCACTCACTCATCTCTAGGGCATTCATGTTTGAGGAAATTTTTCCTCACGCACCGGTGCTCGAATTTGAGTGCAGTCTAAACACCCCTTCAATGAAGACAAAGACGGAAATGCTGACCAGGTACTAAGACACATTCGCCATCAGTATTTAGAATTCTCACAAACTGTTTCATAAAACAAAGTGTCAAATGCATTGGAGGGAATTTGATCTCTCTGTTGGCAATTGGATCATTCACGATATATGACGTGCAAGCTTGTAGAGTTTCATAACTTGGCCACACCTCTGTTCAATCTGTCATGAGGTCAATTGTTTACATGCAGAAATAACATGGGAACCTTGTGTATCCTGTCTGCTAAACAAGAAGGAACCTCCACATCTTCATATCAACACAAATGATTCAGCTGGGTTTGTGATTTTAACAGTCGCCAATGACGAATTTATTGGCTAGCACAGATGAGGTAACAGCGGTCTTTTATCCCTCTATTTTGAGGATTTGTATTTATGCAGTAACTCCAATACCAAGAATATATATCTTCATAACCCGGTATTGACATTGCATGGTTTGTAGCAGTCATTCGCTCTGACTTTGACGAGGATAGTTAGTACGACTTTTAATAGAATCTCCGCATTCATCATACAGTTATGAGCTAAAGCAAAAGCAATGTAACCGTGTAAATCTGTTGAGTCCCATAGCCTCATCTGTGGATACCATCACTCACTTGTAGTTTGAATGCCTTAGCAAGGATAGAAGGTAGCTTAAAAATCTTCTACGGATACTCCATACACAAATCCTCTCCAGGGCAAGTGTACATAAAAGTTAACCCATCCATACATCAACCCTTTGAAAAGTTCCTTCAGTTATCCAATATCTTGGAATAAGGTTGGAAGCGACTGGAATCTCATAATTTCCAAAGTTTTATAATACGAATCGGTTTGCTATCGGCTTGTATTGAGACTTTTTGGATAATGATTTCAACAATGTTCGAGACAGCTCAATTTCGTCTGTAAACTAATTCAGCCGCAGGCAACCTAACTGGGTCCGCTTCTCAGGGGATGTGGCGGTAAAAGTGAGTACAGTGACGACCATACCTAGGAGGCTCACGGTGACTGGTGGGCTTCAATTCGATCCAACCTTATGTTTGCGAGAACCGGCAGCCACTTTGTATCCCTTAACACTTGACCAAGTTAATGGCACCTTTCGAACGCTTCACTGACACTTAAGACTGGTAAGTGACCGCCGATGGTTTCAGAAGCATGATTCACGAGTCCACCACAATAGTCTTTTGATTGTGAGCGGGGCAGCGAGAGATATTTTATTTACTCCCCTTGGTCTACTACTCTGTTAAACCAGTATTAGCCCACGTTGATTATTGCCCACTATAGAATACTGTCATCATATTGTGTATGCCTTCTTGGATCTTACGGTGTTTTCCTCTCATGTTCTTGTCGTGGAACGATCAACTCTCTTCAAGCACATTTCTGATGCTTTGGCCACCGCAAAGGATAATAAACGGTGCCCTACCTGCTGCATCCAACAGGGTGGATAGGGGTTTGGATGCTGCTGCTCAAGCCTTTCCGTCTACTTACTCCCACTCTTACTCTTTTTCACTTACCGTCCCGTTCCAACTTTACTTTTATCCCTCAAATTTTCAATCCCCGATCCTTGGTCCTCCCCCAACATGCTATGCTAGGCGTTTATCTTCTAATTTCATCTCACATGTTAACGCGGAGCGTCACTCCTCTCCTGTCGACAAGCGGTCCATACCAGTTCATCGGACTCAAGTCGGAGCCCTCTAGCCTCCTTCAAATTGGCATGCCTCAATGTACGCACGTTGCTACAGATCGGTCAACAGGCACCACTTGCCCGAACATTGGAGATCCTCTCGATCGATATCTGCTGCTTATCAGAGACCCACCTGCAAGACTCGAGCTCTGTGATCACTCTGCGATCCCCTTCAGGTGACGCAAACAGTATTTTCTCAGTGCGCCTATCCGGTGAGGATGCAGCTTCGAGCACCGGCCAAGCTGGTGTTGGCATTGCCCTGAGTCCTCGGGCTGTAACTGCTCTGGTTGATTGGATTCCAATCAGTAGCCGGATGTGTGCGGTCCGATTGGCTGGCTCGTTCAAAGCTTCGAAGTCGCGCGGGACTAATCGATGTTTATTCATCATTGCTACCTACGCACGCACAAACTGTAGCGATAATTCGGTAAAGAACGACTTCTACCGCCGACTGATCTAGCTCCTTCGCCACAGAAGAAGCA